TCATCTAGACTGTAAGCTCATTTGAGCAGGGTCCTGATCTACCTATTGTTCCTGTGTCACTGTGTAATTTTCATTAATTGTAAATTTCCCCCTCTTTTATAATATTGTAAAGTGCTGCGGAATTAGTTGGCGCTATATAAATACCAACAATAATAATACTTAACAGGGGTCATGTTGTTAAATTATAACGGCCACCTTTTTATGGCCTTTCTTACGTATCAATACAGCGCTAGGAACATATCAGTATTTCATTTCTCACCAGGTATACTTCATACAGAAGTATACTTTTGCATGTGTAGTGAACTGGGTCACTTATAATACTGTTCAATTTCCTTCAGTTAGTTGGTATCAGATATCAAGAGTATTTTGTGTTCTGGGCTCATTGCGATTATTTACCTACAGTGACAAACGTTCCCACAAACATTTGCCACGGAGTCCTGGAGGAGTGTGGAAGCCGGTCTTCTGCCTACCGAGTATGGTCCAGGTCAGAGACACCGTTTGGGAGTTACCCTGCCCTGGATAGCTTGCCCTGGGTGCCCATGGTTCGGCACCTTACCGTCATAGGAATGGAACAGAACACTAGCTCTCTGGCGGCCGTTCGCATGAACCAAAGCCATTAATAGTCCTCAGTGGTACTTAACCACGACCCCTTTGGAACTAATTTTAGCATGAGGGATTCGTGGGTTCCGGTCACCTCAGCTAGACTTAGCCGCGAATGTTTTGGCATGTTTCCTGTTTTAAGCCACTTTGAAATCCACCAGGAGAGCGCTTTTTTGGAGGGAAGATGCCGCAGACTAAGGGGAACAAACACTACCTAAGAGCCAGGTGGAGCACCCCGTACAGTGACCGCAGGAGCTCCCGAAAGTTGACCAGCAAAAGCACCAAACTCCCTGGAACTATTTTGCGCATCGTACTACGTGTGCGACTGGTCCGAACCTTAAGATTGTGGCGTTTCTCCTACAATGCATGGATCTGAGCGCTATTTGGAGAACTTGGGCACTCAGATCAGGGCTATTTAAAGATGTATTATTTGTAGGGTTATTTTATGTTTTTATTATGTTTTGGGGTACTTTATGTTTTTATATGTTTGTGTTTGGCTCTCTGTTCCTGGGAGATAATTAGCTTACCGGTCTTTAACACAATTATCTCCCAGGCCCAGAGATTCCTGGGAGGGTCTGCTTCAGCACACCACAACCGACTTGTGCACCACTAACATAACTTGGCTTATTGTCCTTGACAACAAATGGAAAGGCTAAGCCTGTGGGAGCGGATATTCCGGCCTATAAATGCACAGGCTGCCCCTTCCTCTGGGTTGAGATGGTCTGATTCAGCCCATCCACCACTCCCTTTATCAGGCCATTTAAATTGGTGGGCCCTCTTTTTACAGGCCTACCCGAACGTCGATTTCGGCACACCATAACCGACTTGTGCACCTCTAACATAACTTGGCTTATTGTCCCCAACCACAACTATAAATATATATATATAAAAAAAAAAAAAAACTTTTCGAAATATTAAATCAAGGTTTTAAGCAAACCAAGTTCTCGTGGGTTCCCACTGTACTAGAGCCTCAGGACCACAGTTAATTTCTACTCAACTCCGACCAATATAAAATTAGCAAAGTAGTTATTCACTGTGACGGACCGCCTGCACCCCGACTGGGTACCTCCGTCAATCGCTGCTTCCTAGTACTGGCGAGTACCATAAGCACTGCACTGGAACACCATAACCACCGCAAACCACACGAACCGCCGCAGCTTGGTTGGGGTCTCGCCGTCCTTCACCCACCCTGTACCCAAAACTAGGATCCAGCTTCCAGTAGGTAGGCCTCTCTTAGTGCCGAGAGCGTAGCAGGAACAGCTCTTACAAGAGCTTAGTGATTATATTCAGGGGAGAATAGTGATTATAGCAATCCCCAGAGTGTAGTTCTCCAATCCCCCAAACATGAGCCAAGACTTCATGAAGGTGCAAGATGATCTGAGAGTTTAATGGTACATGTTGGATTTTTATACAACTTTTCAGGCCAGAGGAACACCCACTGGACCTGATTGGGCACAGGACAGAAATTTTACAGACCAATAGAAACAATGTAACAATGCCTAACATTCCCACACACAGCACACCCTCCCATCTGCTTGGTAGATAATTGAGTAAAGTCCTGTAAGTAACTCAATTATCTCCAGGCAGAAAAAACAAATTTTTACTGTTCAGAAAGTACCCCAAAACACAACACATCCCCTGATAGCCCTGATCTGGGTGAACAACATATGCAAAAAGCGCCCAGATCAGAGCAGAGGTTAAGGAAACTACTGGAAGTCTCTTTTTGACCCACTGTGCACATGGTCCCATGCCCAAAACAGTTCCAGAGAATTAGGGCTACCGGTCGGTCTCTCTGTCTGAAGTACAAAAGTACATACTTTACAGGAACAGAGCCTTTTAAAGTGCATTGGGCAAGGTATATTGCAGGGCCATAGTCACAGGGTAAGAGGCTGGCCAGCAGGCCCCTCCAAGAACCCTTGACGAGGTTTAGTTTGTCACAGGGCCATAATCATAGGGTAGGAGGCTGGCAGACAGGCCCCTCCAAATGCCAGTGACGAGGTTACTTTCGTCACATTGCCAAATTATATAAATGGGATACGTGAACACGTTAAGGGATACCGTCCTGATTAGGTGGTAATGTTGAATTTCGAGGTTGTGAGGGTTAGGTAGCAGTTGGGGCTAATGTACTAGTCACATTAGTTTAGGGCATGGAATATGATGTGTAACTCTCTAATTTTCTCAGCCAAGTCGTGTGTTTCTCTCCTTCCTGTGTTCTACAAGGACATTTTTCTGTTTCAGGATTCAGTATTAACAATGGAGATTATTTCTATACGGACCCATTACAAAAAGCAGGACATCGAGTGTACAACTGCCTGTCACCAGCTACCCTGGATGTAAGTAATCCAATGTCACCCTGTAGTGCCCTCTGTGTCTGTGTCATCCGGGGTGGGGGGTGGGGGGTGGGGGAGAGAAACTCATAGCACCCACTGCCTGTGTCTTCCTGTGGGGTGGGGGGGGAGACGCATAACACCCTCTGCCTGTCTTCCTGTGGGGAGAACTCATAGCACCCACTGCCTGTGTCTTCCTGTGGGGTGAGGGGGGAGACGCATAACACCCTCTGTCTGTCATCCTGTGGGGGGGAACTCATAGCACCCTCTGTCTATGTCATCCTGTGGGGGGGAACTCATAGCGCCAGTTGTCTATGTCATCCTGTGGGGGGGAACTCATAGCGCCCTCTGTCTGTCTGTCATCCTGGGGGTGGGGAGACTCATAACACCCTCTGCCTGTCATCCTGTAGGGGGGAACTCATAGCGCCCTCTGCCTGTCATCCTGTGGGGGGGAACTCATAGCGCCCTCTGTCTGTCATCCTGTGGGGTGGGGGCGGGAGAAACTCATAGCACCATGGTCAATATCATTCTTTGGGCGTGGAATGACATAGCGCCCTCTGTTTATGTCATCCTATGGGACTCCTTATGACTCTGTCTGTCATCCTGTGAGGGGAGAGACTTACAGTGTCCCCTTTCTGTGTCATCATGCAGGGGAAAAATACACTCACGGTGCCCCAGTCTCTGTCACCCTGTGGGAAGGGAGAGACTCATAGCGCCCTCTGCCTGTCATCCTGTAGGGGGGAACTCATAGCGCCCTCTGCCTGTCATCCTATGGGGGGGAACTCATAGCACCCTCTGTATATGTTATCCTGTGGGGGGGAACTCATAGCGCCCTTTGTCTATGTCATCCTGTGGGGGGGAACTCATAGCGCCCTCTGTCTGTCATCCTGTGGGGGGGAACTCATAGCGCCCTCTGTCTGTCTGGCCAGGTCATCCTGGGGGTGGGGAGACGCATAACACCCTCTGCCTGTCATCCTGTAGGGGGGAACTCATAGCGCCCTCTGCCTGTCATCCTGTGGGGTGGGGAGACGCATAACACCCTCTCTGTCATCCTGTGGGGTGGGGGCGGGAGAAACTCATAGCACCATGGTCAATATCATCCTTTGGGCGGGGATGACTCATAGCGCCCTCTGTTTATGTCATCCTATGGCGGGGGACTCCTTGCGCACTCTGTCTGTCATCCTGTGAGGGGAGAGACTTACAGTGTCCCCTTTCTGTGTCATCATGCAGGGGAAAAATACACTCACAGTGCCCCAGTCTCTGTCACCCTGTGGGAAGAGAGAGACTCGTAGCACCCCCTGTCTTTCACTATGTCACCAAGGATGGGGACAGATAGACTCGTAGCGCCCCCTGTCTTTCACTATGTAACCAAGGATGGGGACAGATAGACTCGTAGCGCCCCCTGTCTTTCACTATGTCACCAAGGATGGGGACGTATAGACTCATAACACACCCTGTCTGTCACTATGTCACCAAGGAAGGGGACAGATAGACTTGTAGCGCCCCCTGTCTTTCACTATGTCACCAAGGATGGGGACGTATAGACTCATAACACACCCTGTCTGTCACTATGTCACCAAGGATGGGGACAGATAGACTTGTAGCGCCCCCGTCTTTCACTATGTCACCAAGGATGGGGACGGATAGACTCGTAGCGCCCCCTGTCTGTGTCATTCTGCAGGGAGAAAACTATTATTTTATGGAAAGGAAATTAACTTTTTGATTTGTGTTTTTCCCTCAGATTTTCAGCTGTTTCCGCCTTAATACTCCTCCACCAATCACATGTCCCACTGTGTATGTCTCACCCCAAAATACTTCCATTTCCACCATGCAATTAGCCCAGCAGCCCATACTCCCCAGCCCAGCAGACTCCCATCACTGTCAGAGTGCCGTGAAGGATCCGGATTGCAACTCCTCCCACTCAGCCAGCCATACTG